GTCCTCCCGCCCACCTGCCCACCCACCCACCCACCCACCCACACCCGGCCACCAACCATCCACTCAGATACCCTCACTACTACCCCATTCACCCACCACACACATCTACCCATCCACCCAGACATCCACCACTACCACACATACACCCCTATACACACCCTAACCCATCCATCTTCCCACACCCACTCACCCAACTCTCACACCTCCACTCCCCCCACCCACTCACCCACCCACCACACCCACCCACCCACCCAGACCTCTCCATCACCTTGTAGGAGAGTGAAAGAAAAATGGTTCCGTCTCTCACGTCTCTCACACCTCCGTCACGAGACACCTGGAGACTTTTGAGAGATAGTCATTAAAGGTGTGGATGAGAGGTGTGTTAAGTAGAGTCTCGGCTCAGTTTAGACGCCATTTTAGCTTAATACATACACACATACATACATACATACATACATACATACATATATACATACTCGCTATCCTCTTAATTTTCCTAACTCTTCCCTCTTCTTCCTCCGTCTCTTTCCTTCCTCTTCCTCCTCCTCCTCCTGATTCTTTAGCCTCCTAACTCCCTCTCTTCTTCTTCGTTGTCCTCCTCCCAACTCCCAACCCCATCTCCTCCCGCACCTCCCTACCTCTCCTCCTCCCGCACCTCCCTACCTCTCCTCCTCCCGCACCTCCCCGCCGTCACAAATAATGACAACAACACCAAGAGCCTCACCACCAACTTACATAATCAGGCAGCGTGAAGGAAGATTAAGTCAGCCTCGAGACTTCATCCCAAACTCTTGCTCAAGTTTGATTGATGCTCGCTCTTGGGGGGTCTAATACTGCCACGGTTCGATACCCACGCCCACTACACACCCTGTACCACCCACTACCAACCCACCCTGCCCACCACACTCTGTATCACTACCCACCCACCCCGCCCACCACACTCTGTACCACTGCCCACCCACCCCGCCACCACTTGTACCACTGACCCACCCGCCCACCACACTCTGTATCACCACCACTACCAACCCACCCTGCCCACCACACTCTGTATCACTACCCACCCACCCCGCCCACCACACTCTTACACCTACACTTAGATTTTTACTTATTTACATATACTTATTGTCTTTTCCATTACAGAGTCTCTAATCCAAATTTCTTTCCATTTAACCTCTTTTCCATTTAACCCCCCTTCCATTTAATCCCCTTCCATATAATCCCTTTCCCTTTAATTCCCTTCCACTCAACCCTTTTCCATTTACCCGCCTCTTCCATAAAACTTCCTTTCCATCCATAAAATTCCAACGAGAACTTTCCATCCATCTCCTTCCATCTACAAAGGTTCACTCCTCTCTTCCACTAGTCCATTCCATCCACGAAGATTGAGTCCACTTTTACACTGCGCCACCTCTTCCATCCACCAGCTTCCGCCCCACACTATTCCATCCCTCTCCTGCTTTAACTCTTATGCATACGTGATGGGAACACACACACATACACACACACAAACACACGCACACACACACACACACACACACACACAAGCAGACGCATAGAAGTTACGGTCACAATCTTCGTGTTAAGGGAGCCAGTTAGATACGTTCTCACATCACCAGTTAAATACGTTCTCCCATCACCAGTTACTTCCACACATCACCAGTTACATTCACACATCACCAGTCAGCAGGAAAACCTAACCTAACCAAACAAAAATGAACACAATCAAAATCGCCCTTAAAACAATAAATTCCATAACCTCTCACACCCAAGAGGATTGAATACCCTTTAGAGGAGTAACTTGTAGGATTGAGTCAAGTTTATACTCATGGGAGGTGTAAGTTTAAGAGGATCCAACACTGTATTATAATGTAGTCCTTACCAGAGGCTGACCTGCTTCAAAGGATCTTCTCCTCTACCACTACTACCACCACTACCACCACTACCACCATCATCACAACTACCACCACAAATAGTTAATGTTTTTCTTTTTTTTAATTTGTTGTGGATTGTGATTGTGGTAGTTAATGGGTTGTTGTTATTGTTGTTGTTGCTGTTGTTATTATTGTTATTATTATTGTTATTCTTGTTCTCATTATTCCTGTTTTTACATGAAATAACGAAACAGGTTGTGGAGGCAGGTACAAGACTCTCTCTCTCTCTCTCTCTCTCACACACACACACACACACACACACAACTGCCCGACACTCACCCGACAGCCGACAGCGTTACGCCCCGCCCAGTGCATTTGCCGGAGTAAGCCACCAGCCTCGTCCATGTGTGTGTGTGTGTGTGTGTGTGTGTGTGTGTGTGTGTGTGTGTGTGTGTGTGTGTGTGAAGGCGAGAAAACAAACAGAAAAAAGGGAAAGGCAGAGATGGAAAGACAACAACAAGAGAGAGAGAGAGAGAGAGAGAGAGAGAGAGAGAGAGAGAGAGAGAGAGAGAGAGAGAGGGGCAGATCAGATCAAAGGACACAGAGAACAGTGACAATCAGACCACATTTACACAACTTCATGACATCAAACAGCCAGGAAAAGGGGGACATCAGGAGACAAAGACGTCAAAGAGTGTCCAGGAAAAGGGGCATCAGACTCATAACCACCCTCATAACTCATAATCACTCATAACTCATTACTCATAATCACTCATAACTCACAACTCATTACTCATAATCACTCATAACTCACATTCTCATTACTCATAATCACTCATAACTCAAAACTCATAACTCATAATCACTCATAACTCATTACTCACAACTTATAACTCACATTCTCATTACTCATAATCACTCATAACTCACAACTCGTTACTCATAATCACTCAAAACTCACAACTCATAATCACTCATAATTCACAACTCACAACTTATAATCACCCTCATAACTCACAACTCATGACTTAAAATCACCCATAACTCACAACTCATAACTCACTGCTCATAACTCACAACTCATAACTCACTGCTCATAACTCACAACTCATAACTCACTGCTCATAACTCACATTTTCATGACTCCTAATAACTCATAACCGTTGCTATACTCTGGACGACTTAGGAGGAAAACTTTATATCTCATTAAGGTTAATATGTTATAAGTATTATTTCTAAGTCTTTCGTATAAGATTCTTCTTGCTAAACTTCTTTCATTTGAGGGCATTCATTTCTTTCATCTCTTGGATCTTTCATTTCTTCTCTCACGCTATATATATCTGGATTTATTTTGTTTCTTTCATTTTAATTATTATATTTGGGTCTACTTCTTTCTTTCTTTCTTTCATTTTTTTTATCATATTTGGACCTATTTCTTTCATTATGTTATATATGGATCTACTTCTTTCACTTAAATCTACTTCTTTCACTCTAACCACTACATAAGGACCTACTTCTTTCACTTAAATCTACTTCTTTCACTCTAACCACTACATAAGGACCTACTTCTTTCACTTAAATCTACTTCTTTCACTCTAACCACTACATAAGGACCTACTTCTTTCACTTAAATCTACTTCTTTCACTCTAACCACTACATAAGGACCTACTTCTTTCACTTAAATCTACTTCTTTCACTCTAACCACTACATAAGGACCTACTTCTTTCACTTAAATCTACTTCTTTCACTCTAACCACTACATAAGGACCTACTTCTTTCACTTAAACTTCTTTCACTCTAACCACTACATAAGGACCTACTTCTTTCACTTAAATCTACTTCTTTCACTCTAACCACTACATAAGGACCTACTTCTTTCACTTAAATCTACTTCTTTCACTCTAACCACTACATAAGGACCTACTTCTTTCACTTAAATCTACTTCTTTCACTCTAACCACTACATAAGGACCTACTTCTTTCACTCGGTTCATACACCTACACTCCAAATTAACCACTGCATTACCTTCAACAACACACACTGCATTCATTACTACTGTCACCTTCACAAGTTCCATTAAGCTGCATTCCCTCACCAATCACCTTAATTAATTCTCCCATACAACATACAGGTAAAGCAATGTATGTATAATATTCTTTATACATAGTTTATTATACATGTTTGTTTATGGATATACAGTATTTATTGTTTAGTTCCACACTGTATTAATTTTTGTGTCTACAGGGTGGTGGTGGTGGTGGGCCATGACGAAAGGTAAACAAAGAAACAGGTAAGGGAGTGACGTCACGATTTAGAGAGAGACAGGTAAGGGAGTGACGTCATAACTTAGAGAGACAGGTAAGAGGGTGACGTCATGATTTAGAAAGACAGGTAAGGGAGTGATGTCATGACTTAGAGGCAGGTAAGAGGGTGACGTCTTGACTTAGAGACAGGTATGGGAGTGACGTCATAACTTAGAGAGACAGGTAAAGGAGTGACGTCATGATTTAGAAAGACAGATAAGGGAGTGACGTCATAACTTAGAGACAGGTAAGAGGATGACGTCATGACTTAGAGATACAGGTAAGGGAGTGACGTCATAACTTAGAGAAACAGGTAAAGGAGTGACGTCATGATTTAGAAAGACAGATAAGGGAGTGACGTCATAACTTAGAGACAGGTAAGAGGATGACGTCATGACTTAGAGATACAGGTAAGGGAGTGACGTCATGATTTAGAAAGACAGGTAAGGGAGTGATGTCATGACTTAGAGGCAGGTAAGAGGGTGACGTCTTGACTTAGAGACAGGTATGGGAGTGACGTCATAACTTAGAGAGACAGGTAAAGGAGTGACGTCATGATTTAGAAAGACAGATAAGGGAGTGACGTCATAACTTAGAGACAGGTAAGAGGATGACGTCATGACTTAGAGATACAGGTAAGGGAGTGACGTCATAACTTAGAGAAACAGGTAAAGGAGTGACGTCATGATTTAGAAAGACAGATAAGGGAGTGACGTCATAACTTAGAGACAGGTAAGAGGATGACGTCATGACTTAGAGATACAGGTAAGGGAGTGACGTCATGATTTAGAGATACAGGTAAGGGAGTGACGTCATAACTTACCTGGTGGCTAGGTCTCGGTGAGTGATGTTGTGAGCCTCCAGGTATTTCATCCCAGAGGCTACCTGAGTCGCCATGTAGATGATGGAACCGTAGCTGAGGGAGAGACAAGGTGAGATACGGTGAGATAATGGGGAGATAATGGGGAGATATTGTGAGATACTGGGGAGATATTGTGAGATACTGGGGAGATATTGTGAGATACTGGGGAGATATTGTGAGATACTGGGGAGATATTGTGAGATACTGGGGAGATATTGTGAGATACTGGGGATATATTGTGAGATACTGGGGAGATATTGTGAGATACTGGGGAGATATTGTGAGATACTGGGGAGATATTGTGAGATACTGGGGAGATATTGTGAGATAATGGTGAGATATTGTGAGATACTGGGGAGAGGCCAGAGATACTGGGGAGAGTCTTCAGATAAATTTGGTTGATTCTAAGCAAACTGGGCTGAATCACACACACACACACACACACACCTGATGGGACGCATATGGTTGAGCCTGGGTGTGGTGGTATCAGGTACGTGTCTTCGTAGGTACTGGTTGAGGTCCCCCAGAGGATGGTATTCCAGCACCAACATGAGAGGGTCGTCTCGGCTCACCACCCCAACCAGACTCGCTAAGTTGGGGTCACTCAAGGTAGCCAGGAGTTGAGCCTGGCGCCAAGCATCCTCACGAACCTGGTGGCCGAGGGAAGAGGTGAGGTGAGGTGAGAGGTGAGGTGAGGTGAGGTGGAGGTGGGGTGAGGTGAGGTGAGGTGGAGGTGAGGTGGGGTGAGGTGAGGAGGGGTAGGGTAAGGAGGGGTAGGGGAGGGGTTGGTTAGGGGTAGGGGAGGAGGGAGGGAGGGTAAGGGGGAGGGAGGGTTAGGGGGAAGGGGAGGGTAAGGGGGAGGGGAGGGGTAGGGGAGGGTAGGGGAGGGCGGGAAGAGGGGAGGGAGGGTAAAGGGCAGGGAGGGTAGGTTAGGGTTAGGTTAGGTTAGGGTGGTTAATCTTAAGGTGATCTGATACAAAAACATTACAATTAATACAGAAATGACACATGTGCACTATCTTCCTTATTCTGTGTACACCATCTATAGCCACATCACCATTTTATGTACACATCACCATTCTGTGTACACCATTTACCTCCACATAATCATTCTATGTACACCATCTATAGCCACATCACCATTCTATGTACACATCACCATTCTGTTTACACCATCTATGTGAACATCGCCATTATATTAAAAATGATAAATACAAACAAACTCTCTCTCTCTCTCTCTCTCTCTCTCTCTCTCTCTCCCCTCACCACTGTCCACTCTTCTCATTATCGCGTGTTCTTCCTCCCCTTTACCACTTTCTTCTTCCTCCTCACACACACACACACAACAACAACAACAACAACAGCACAGGTAGGCGGAGGTAAAGGTGTGGCAGCTGCAGGTTAATAATGAGGTACCTCAGGTGATGCATCCTGCTTGAGGGAGGCGAGGACTACCTGCCTGGTGACGCCATTAATACCGACGCCATTAACCACCACCCCAGCTTTGAGCGTCCCCGTGGCGTCCCCAGACTCACCCCCGCCCGGCGCCTCCCCCAAGTGTACCTGTAGGAGGAGTAATTAGTCAGGGGTTAGTACACTCAACACCTGTACAATAATAAACCCCCTCACTACACCTGTGCTAGAGACTTGATGACACACCTGTATGCTAGTTCCTCAGATGTGGCAGGTGTATTGGGTGGTATTAATTAACATCATCATTAACACCTGTACAGTAATAACACTCACTACACCTTTGAGACGCTAATTATCTTACTACACCTGTGCTAGAGACTTGATGATACACCTGTATGCTCGTTACTCAGGTATAACAGGTGTATTGTGTGGTGCTAATTAACTCATCATTAACACCTATACGACACATCTGTTTATTTATCCACCAAAACTTAACTCATTCTGCTGAAACTTTTAGGAAATGTTACTTAATTAGACTGAGCCATAAGACTGAACCATAAGACTGAGCCATAAGACTGAAGTATAAGACTGAACCATAAGACTGAACCATAAGACTGAACCATAAGACTGAACCATAAGACTGAACCATAAGATTGAACCATAAGACTGAACCATAAGACTGAACCATAAGACTGAACCATAAGATTGAACCATAAGACTGAACCATAAGACTGACTGACCGTGCCAAAGTCGCCCTCTCCCAGCTTGTCGGCGAAGTGTAGGACCTGACGATGTATCTCCCGGGGGCTCCTTGGCTTCAGGGTGCTCATGCCTTCCATCCTATACTGCGCCAACCCACACGGCCCCACCACACTCACGCCCTGTGGGAGAGTGAGGGAGAGCGTGAGGGAGGGAGTAAGGGGGAGTTTGGGTGTGTGAGAATGGGGGAGTGTAGGAGTGTGGGAGAGTGTGGGAGAATGAAGGAGAGAATGAAGGAGAGAGAGAGAGAGAGAGAGAGGGAGGTTGTCTTGAGGTGGTCACAGGTGTTCAACAGGTAAGTTAATTAAGACGGTAAGAAAAAAGGTGTGATGGATCCAACAGCTGCTGTTGTTTTTTTTTTTTGTCTTATTAAGTTAGATAGATAAATAGATAAATAGATAGATAGATAGATTAGATAGATAGATAGATAGATAGATAGATAGATAGATAGATAGATAGATAGATACACCTGTTACAGAAGTATACAACAGGTGTATTGTTGTATTAATGTGTATATTATGCAAGTAAACAGGATGACTTAAACCTTTCCTAAAGCATAAAAATACAAAATTAATTATACCTGTAAAACGATCACCTGAGAAAAATTATACTTAATATTAATAGTTTTTTTTAATTACAGGTACAGCAGAGGTACAGGAGTGAAATTCAACGTATGATGATTACTGGATTTTCTGTAATGAAGAATATATAATAGAATACAGTTACCAGAGAGGAATACAGTGGGAAATAAATCACTGTCATAGAAAAATACATAAATGGAAAATGTATTCAATTCACTATAATACAAAATTAAATACAGTTAAGGAAGATCCAATGAGAAACCATCACCTGAAATGTTAATTACATAAAATACAAAATACACTGAATTCACTGTAACTAAAAAATACAAATATATACACATAAATAATCAATACAGTAATATAGACAATTAACCGGAAAATACAAAACTTTCTGAATTCGCTGAAATACAGAATCACTTGTAACTGAAGGGAATGAATGAGCTGTATTTAATTCACTCGTTATACATAATACAGCCACTGTATTTTACTTCTCTGTATCTGTATTTATGTAGATTGTGATGTCAACCAATGGGATTTTAGTTTACAATTAAATCGACCAATAGTAATTAAGTAATTGAACAATCAGCCAATAAACTTTAAATATCTGAATAAGTTAGCCAATAGAATTTAAGCATCAGATTAAATCAGCCAATAGAAATTAAACATCCACGTAAATGAACCAATAGCCTTTATGTACCCTAAAATATCAACCAATAGCAACCAAGTATCCACCTAGATGAACCAATAGCCCCAAGCATCCTAAAATATCAACCAATAGTAACCAAGTATCCACCCAGACAAACCAATACCCTCTAAGTACCCTAAAATATCAACCAATAGCATCCAAGTACGTTAGAATATCCACCAATAAAATTCAAATATCCGCAGAGATGAACCAATGGGGAGGGCCGCGGGTGACTGACGACACAATGCAACACAGTAACATTTTTCCATTTGAGTTACTCCTCGAGGTAATGTCTTCCCTTCGAGGACGAGAATGACTTTGTCACTAGTGAGAAATGTACCTTCAGACTCAACCCTTACCCACACTCTCTCTCTCTCTCTCTTTCACATTTCTTCATCATTCTCCCCGTCTTCCTCTTCTTCTACTTTACCTCCTCCTCCTCTTATTCTTCTTCCTCCTTCTCCTCCTCCTTCTTCTTCTTCCTCTCATCTATCTTTCCTCTCTGCAAACAAACATCAATTATTCGCTTTTCTTCAACACTGCCAATTTTAGTTCAAATTACCTGGACATACTTTCTAACGTAGTCCACACACACACACACACACACACACACACACACACACACACACACACACACACACACACTTTAATATTTTTTATGGATTTTGACCTTTTGTAGGCTTACGAGGTCAGAGGTCACGGAACTCCCCAAAGTAATCGAATATTATGACCTTTTGAAGACTTTTATGGGGTCAAAGGTCAAACAACCACCCATTTAGAATAGGTCAAGATAGTTTAATGGACCTTTTATGTAATTTACTGTTTTCTGTATCCTAGGTCAGATCAGGTCGAAGGTCAGGTAAGGTCAAACGAGGTCAACCTATAACCTTTCCCTGTTACCATGACTACACCACAAGCTGACAAGGTTGTGACAGTCATAACAGAGACGCTTGACAGGGTTGTGAGCTGTGACAAGGCTGTGACAGTCATAACAGAAACGCTTGACAGGGTTGTGAGCTGTGACAAGGCTGTGATAGTCATAACAGAGACGCTTGGCAGGATTGTGAGCTGTGACAAGGCTGTGACAGTCATAACCGAGACGCTTGACAGGGTTGCGAGCTGTGACAAGGCTGTGACAGTCATAACACACACGTAGCAGCTGGGAATATAAGGCATCAACTGTCTCAGCTCCGGTAGTATTATATAAGCGCTGAGACAAAAATAGTTGAGTTCGTGTGTTGGGAGATAAATGGAGGGTTATTCTCCCCACCTTGCCTGACGTCTGTCTATCATTCCACCCCGAAGAACTTAATATTCTCCCCGACACCCAGTTGCCATGTGGGGAGAGACACTGCCTGGGGAGATACAGTGTTATGGTGGGGAGATACAGTGTTATGGTGGGGAGATACAGTGTTATGGTGGGGAGATACAGTGTTATGGTGGGGAGATAGTCTTATGGTGGGGAGATATAGATGTTATTCTGGGGAGATAGTGTTATAGTAGGGAGCTAGTGTTATTGTGGGGAGATACAGTGTTATTGTGGGGAGATACAGTGTTATTGTGGGGAGATACAGTGTTATTCTGGGGAGATAGTGTTATAGTGGGGAGCTAGTGTGGTGGGGAGATACAGTGTTATGGTGAGGAGATACAGTGTTATGGTGGGGGAGATACAGTGTTAAGTGGTGAGGAGATACAGTGTTATAAGGAGGAGATACAGTGTTATGGTGGGGAGATACAGTGTTATGGTGGGGAGATACAGTGTTATGGTGGGGAGATACAGTGTTATGGTGGGGAGATACATAATACAAACTCCATATATGTATACAATCACATAATTATCTATTCATTTCCTTGTATGTTTGTGTTGGCTGTATGTGTGTTTGTCTTTCGCTGTGTTTGTTTGTGTTGTTTGGTGTGAGTTGGAAGCTTGTTTGTCACTCCTGGGAAAGTTTTAAGTGTTTGTGAAACTTTGGAATATCTCTCTCTCTCTCTCTCTCTCTCTCTCTCTCTCTCTCTCTCTCTCTCTACTTTCCCTCTTTCTCTGTCTGTGTATATTTCTGTGAATGTTTAGAATCATGTGTGTGTGTGTGTGTGTGTGTGTGTGTGGTAACTTCACGACCAATATATGACAGGAATGATGACAATAGCTGCCCTCAGTAACACTCAGACCTACACTACGTTACCTTTGGAAAGTAATAAAGTAACGAGAGATACTTTGTCAGGTAAAAGTTATATCAAAGTAGCAACGTCTCCAAAGTAGCAACGTCTCCAAAGTAGCAACGTCTCCAAAGTAGCAACGTCTCCAAAGTAGCAACGTCTCACAAAGTAGCAACGTCTCCAACTTCAATAAATCCCAAAGTTAAGATTATGAAAAGTATTAAATTTAAACCTTATAAAAAGCTTCCTGATTTAAAAGTAACAAAATTAAACTTATCTAAGCTTAATTACATTTATAAACAAGTAAGAAATTCACCTGAAATCTAAGGTCTTGTTGTGGATCGAGACGCATTCATTGCTACACGAACGCCAGATGTAAACAAACCTGTGTTGACGTTCGGGTAGATGAATCACAACACACGATGTATACACACCAGTTATATCCACATACACTACACCTATACATTAACCCAGTGTTGTATATTGTATGTATGTATGTATGTATGTATGTATGTATGTATGTATGTATGACTGTCTTTGTATATAATGTGTAATACTCTCCTCAAACTTGTCTGGAATCACACATATTCGTTCACACTCATACATACATACATACATAAAATACATACATACAATCTCCCCAACACCGCCCCCCCCCCCACACAAACCTAGACACACACCGCCACTAAAACAGCCGTGTGTGTGTGTGTGTGTATGTGTGTGTTTTCCCTCGCGGGCAAATTTTACATAAACGGTCTGAACGATGTGCAAATTGTCATAAATAAAATAAGGTATAATTTTATGCAAATTTTTTCGCATACTTCGCCAGTTCTGTGCAAACTTTGATAATGATGAGATGAGAGTTTATTATGTTGGTATTACTGCAGGGAAGAATATTTGGTGATGTTGGTAATACTGATGTTGGTATTACTGGTGTTATGTTGGTATTACTGATGTTGGTATTACTGGTGTTATGTTGGTATTACTGCAGGGAAGAATATTTGGTGATGTTGGTAATACTGATGTTGGTATTACTGGTGTTATGTTGGTATTACTGCGGGAGAATTTTGGATGTTGGTATGATGTTAGTTATGTGTATTACGATGTTGGTATTACTGGTGTTGTTGGTATTACTGATGTTGGTATTACTGGTGTTATGTTGGTAATACTGCAGGAAGAATATTTGGTGATGTTGGTAATACTGATGTTGGTATTACTAGTGTTATGTTAGTATTATTGTTGGATTACTGGTGTTATGTTGGTAATACTGCAGAAGAATATTTGGGATGTTGGTAATACTGATGTTGGTATTACTGGTGTTATGTTGGTATTACTGATGTTGGTATTACTGGTGTTATGTTGGTAATACTGATGTTGGTATTACTGGTGTTATGTTGGTAATACTGATGTTGGTATTACTGGTGTTATGTTGGTAATACTGATGTTGGTATTACTGGTGTTATGTTGGTATTACTGATGTTGGATATGGTGTTATGTTGGTATTACTGGAAGGAGAGAGGAAGGTGTTTGTATTAAGCTATAGAGGGCTGGTCTGTGTACTCTGTCTCTCGTGTACTCGTGTGTCTGTGTACTCTGTGTGTCTGTGTGTACTCTGTGTGTACTCTGTGTCTCTGTGTGTACTGTGTGTCTGTGTACACTGTGTACTTGTGTGTACCTGTGTGTCTGTGTGTACTTGTGT